GATATTCATTCATTCGATGAAAATTTTTCGGATAACCCAAGTATAGTTGGCACAAAGATTGACAAGCCCTTCCAGACAAAAACTCTCTTTTGAACATATTCACAAAAAATTCCAAAGTCTTAATGAGCCATAAAGCAAGTCATAATGAAGTCATAGATATCACCGGTATAAACGGTTCGACTGATAAAATTGCACGGATTCTCAGCATAACTCTGGCGCAGATACTTAAATATGTCCCAGCGCAATTTACCAATACCAACATGCTCCTCGAACGACGCAAGTCCCAGTTTACCAACGAGTGCGTTATCGACTCGTTCTATGTAGCATCATTGTACAGACATACCAAAGCTTTGCAGGCGATCTATGAGTCACTACCCGAGCATCAGTTCTCCGTTAACCTGCACGGATTCAACATAAACGTCATAATGGCCCTATGCGTGTCTTCAGTGTAGCGCATTTCAGTGGTAGGCCTTTACTTCAAACAGATTAGAGGTTTAGCTATGGGGCAGCGATAGCGCCAGCTCTAGCTATCACATTTATTTCATAGATATCATAGATAGATTTATCTGTCATATAAATATGTTTGCACTGCGTATCGCCATGATAATCGACTGTTTCAAGTTCAGGTTAAAATCTTGTCCTATGAATCTGACATCCTAGCGCAAAAAACTTTAGAGGATTTTTGCATAACCGCGAGGAATCCGAAAATGAATGCAAAGGAGGAGTATATCGCCATCAAGCAAGAATTAGTACTATGCCGATTCCTTCGTAGATTTGGTAATGATGAACGAAAAAGAAATATATAAGAGAGGAGCAGTCATGTCGAAACGTGGTCATTATAGCTTCTGTTCTGTCACTCAAGATAGGTGCCGACTACCGTAATATTCGGTGGTACCCCTGACTACCCCGTCAATATAAACTGCTGCCTTTTTTTGGCGCCTGAGAGAGTAAGTTACATCTGACTTCAACGTTCCAGGCTCACTACGCAGTGGTATGTGACGCGTTTTTACTGCACAACACTGTTAGCAAGACTATTAGTGCTTACAAAAGTTCTTAAAACATTTAGCGAAGGAACTGGATCCGCATGTAAGCCCTGCTTTTTTGTTCCATAATTGGATTTGCTGACCCAGTGATCG